ATATAAATATATCAAATCGACAATTTAGATCACCTAGGATGCGCACTTCCGACCCTACCTGTCAAGACCTATCCAGACTGAAAAAGATACAACATCCCAGCAGAAAGACCGACGAGATACTCGATTAAAATCCTCCCCCCTGTCGGAAATCGAACTTGAGTCTCCTGCATGCGACAGCGAAGCGCCTTACCGCCACACCACACCACACCGCAGACACCGGTCGAAGTTAATTTCTTACTGCGCGCGGGGCCTAACGGGTAGAGGCGCTACGAAAGAGGTGAGAGGAGAAAGAGGAGGAGAAGGAGGAGGAGAAGATGGCGCTAGGGCAGGGGGAAGAGGAGGTGTCCCTCTTGCATAATGAACTCCTAACGGAACGAAGGTCATCAATAATTTCTCTCCTCTCCTGTTCATCTTGCCCCAAACAAGTCCAAATTTTACCCAGGGTCTCAGCATCATTCTGCCTCCCAGTTTTCCCTACTGCAATTTCATCCCTGGTCTTCCTTTGTTCCTTCGGCCCTGGGGATTCCGTTCCAGCGCCATTATCCTTACACCTGTCATCGATTTTCTTTTTGTGTGTTCGATCAGCTGCCACGTGCTCTGTGTCGCCGTTCATTAGTCTGCTCCGTTCGAATGATTCATCATCTGTGCTGGAAAATTCAAACCCCTCCAAGCTGTAAGTCTCTGCTTCAACGATCCAGTGTTGAAAGTTCTGAGTTCTTTTTCTTCTCCTAATCAATAAGTTAATCACCGTGAGTTCTCCGCTACACTCATCAGCGAGCGAAAGGCTTCAGGATGCCTTTGTGAAGCCTTATACCCCGTGCACATTGCGCTCTCGATTCATTTGATGGATGCAGTCGATTAAGCCAACATTTTGCTTTACTTACTTTTACTTTACTTTTATCCGCCGCTTATACCCTTTTGGGTGACGTGGGAAGAAAGCAAGAGACGTGTCTCTCTGCCACCAGCCGGAGAGCTTGGGTCAGGGGGATACCGCGGGTGGTTAATGTTTCCCTGACTCCATCTATCCAGGTCTTTCTCGGTCGCCCCTTGCATTTTGCTTTACCAAGGGCAAAAGTGGTCATTTTGGCACGATTTGATCAAATCCTCCAACGTTTGATTCTGAAGGAGTTGGATCAGATTGTACCAAAATGGTAGTTTTTGCAGGTGGTTACAGGACGCCACTGGTACGTCCTACTTCTTTACTTTCTCTCTGTTGTTTCTATCAGTCTGTCTCACTTTTCCGCAGCACTTACTTACTTATTTACTTACTGCTTACTCTCTCCCTATTCCATCAAGTATATAAGGCGGAGAGCTGTCGACGCCACGCTTTTCTGTCCTTGGCCACGTCCTCCAATTTCGGCAATTCCAGAACCTGGGTGATTGCCTCATCCCTTGTTGTGCCTCTATAATAGCTTTCAGTTGGTCTTCTTCGTTTTCTTTTTCCAGTTGGTTTCCAGTACCATGTCTGATATAGGGCAATCGTGTCTTTGGCATTCTTAGAACATTATCTAGATATTTCTGTCTTTTCCTTTTTACGGTCGTGTTGACATCTTCGATTCCAGCTCTTTCCAACACTTCATTTTTTCCCAGTACTAAATGACCATTATTGTGTCGAAGTTCT